GATTTTTATTATAAAATTACTATGTTAAAATTTTTCAATAAATTGATCGACAAATTTTCAAAAATCTAACATAGTGGGCCAATCATATAGTAAAACCTTAATTTTTAATATATTTTTGCGCTACGTATAAAAAAAAGTCACACTATTTAAAGTACTTGTACAAAAAAAAATAATCCTCTAAAAATATACACGTATCAAAAATGATGTGGAATATTTTACGGTAGTGAGAGTCTCAGCCTCACCACGCTGCTTTTTTTAAAGATGTCTGTCAACGACCGATCGGAAGCTGCTTTGAATAATAAAGTAAAGAATGTAATGATCTCTCGTTCAAAATGGCACGTTCCCGCTTCAATTGTATCTAAACGAACCGTCAACCCAATTCGCGAAACGGTTTTTAAAATGACGGCTAAACCAAATCCTGATAAAGAACTTATTTCTTTGTCATTAGGTAATTTTGAAATTTTTTTTTTTAATTCAAATTTAAAAATGTCTAATCTTTTAATAAATAGGTGATCCAACTATTTTTGGAAATTTTAAAATTCATGAGAATTGCATTGATGCTGTAATAAAGCAACTGCAATCACATAAAGCGAATGGATACCCGCCTGCATTTGGTAATGAATCTTCGCAAACTTGAATATTTACTATGATAGGAAATAGTACTGATGCTTTTAACCTTTTTTTAAGGTTGTGAAGAGGCGCGAAAAGCTCTGGCTAAAAAGTTTTCAACAGAAGATGCGCCATTAACTTCAAGGGTATCTTGAATTTTGTATTTAATCAAACATACTACAAATTATCAATTTAATATCCTAATGTTCTCCCGTGAACATTTCTGATGATATTTTTATGATTACGTAACGCCGTGAATATATTATAAAATTTCCACGGTCATGACGTAGTCAGTAAAAATTTTAATCAGAAATATTATATAAAAGTTATTTCACGGTGTACAATGTATTACCACGGCTCCGCTGTGCTAATCCATCATATTCACAACAGTCCGTGAAATATCTATTACTTATATTAGACTCAAAGTTATACCTTGCAAAATTAGGATATCGTAATAGGTAGTGGTGCTTCAGATGCTTTGAACCTTGCGATCGGTGCTTTGTGTAACGAAGGTCAGAATATCCTTCTACCTAGACCTGGATTTTCAATATATCAGACAATTTCTCAATCTAAAGGCATTGAATGCCGGTATTACAATCTATTGGTAATTGACATTATTACAAAAATAATATATATATATATATATATATACTTCTTAACTCTTACATTATATCTTTTACTTCTAGCCTGATCGTAACTGGGAAATCGATCTTGATCAACTGGTTACATTAATCGATGACAAAACTGCTTGCATTATAATAAACAACCCTTCTAATCCCTGTGGTTCAAACTTTAGTCGTCATCACCTCGAATCAATAATTCAAGTTTGCGAAACTTACAAACTTGTAATAATCTCTGATGAAATCTATGAAGATATGGTTTTTGGTTCAGAAAAATTCTACCCTATTGCTTCATTAACAAAATCCGTTCCGATCTTGAAAGTCAGTGGATTGGCAAAGCGTTATCTTGTGCCTGGGTGGAGAGTTGGTTGGGTTATTATTTATGATCAAAATGGAATTTTGGATGAAATTCGTAATGCTTTATTATCCCTTTCAAATATTATATTAGGTGCAAATAGTTTAGTCCAATATTCTATCCCTGATATTATTTTTAATACTCCTGATGAATTTTATCAAGATACAAATAATCAATTAGAACGTAATGCTTCTATTTCTGCTAATATTTTATCAAAAATTCGCGGATTACATGTAATTGTACCACAAGGCGCAATGTATATGATGGTTGGAATTAATGTTGAAGAGTTTAAAGATATTAAGGATGATTTGGAATTTACTGAGAAATTACTTGAAGAAGAATCTGTTATGTGTTTACCTGGCAGGGTAAGTTTTCTTTTCACGCTTCTATAAATTATGTAAACTGGTCACGTGAACTAAGTTAATATTTTCATATTGTAGTGTTTTCATTATCCTAATTACAGTAAGTAGACCACAAACTTTATTATGAATTACGTTATACTGCCTAACAAACAATTTTTCATTCAATTAGTACGAATAGTCATTGCACCACATCCAGAAAAATTAGAAGAGGCTTATGATAGAATTAGAGAATTTTGTATTAGGCATTATATTTAAGTATAAAATGCAAATTTTTATTATATTATCAGATTGTATACTTTTTTTATATTAAAATAGATCTTTTTTCTTTATGGCGCGATAAATTTTATTGAATAGGCTTTAAATTTATTATAATACGTGTAATTATGTAAAAAGCTATAAAATAAAAAATAGCAATGTGATTGTCCCTGAAGGCTCATTTTTATGCGTTTTGATGACTGAAATTACGATTTTGATGCTGATACATTTACTGTAGAAGTAGTTTTGGTATTTTCTGTCTGTAACGCCCCAGATTTTTTCAGGAGCTGAGGCCAATTAATCGAATGCTCGTTTATAAAATTTTGGGCACCGTCGTTTTAGTATATCAGTCGCACTATCACGCAGATAATGTGTGTAAAATTTTCATCTTTCTTATTATTTTTTCGTATTTTTAAAAAATCATGGGAGTATATAACATCTGTGTGATTGGCTAATCTATGTATATCAAAACCAATCAAATCAATTAAAAATTCTTAATGCGAAATAAAATAAAATTATCAACAAAAGTGAAACCTTTTAAATATAAAGTAATTGTCTTCTACTTTTAACTACTTTACTAAAAACATCTTATACTATTATTAGATCTGTCACATGAGTATTTTTGTTAATTGCTAAAAATTCTACGTAAGGGAGGGGGGTATTATGACGCAGGTGGGTATTGTGACGCACTCACATTTTTTGATAATATCTCGTGATTCACTGATTAGAATTGAGTAATTTTGGTATCATACGATTCCTCTTACTGAGACGAATCAAATGATATTAAATTCGTTTTATTTGAAGCGATAAAACTCAAGTTACAAAAAAAAAAAAAAAAATTACTAATATTTTTGCCACCGACTCATAAGAATCTGATACGGCCTGCATAATCAGGTTAGTATTTACAAGCCGGCACAATTATTAATCAAATTTATTTACATAAATACTACACTAAATTAAGTAATGAATTAATTTCTAACGATGAAAAATTTCACCATACACGCTAAATTCATGAAAACTATTAGTCTTCATAAAACTTTTTAAAACTAACATTAAAGATATTAAATTCTTCTAGTGTGAAAAACATTTCAACGAATTTACACATTTCAAACCCTTTAATTTTAAATCGATATTTATTTTCTTGATCAAAAATATCACCTGTGGCTTTACTAAATCTTTTTTCCATTAAAAGAATATGCTTCATCTTAGCTAGATCTCTGAAATAATAAATAACTTCGGCAAAATATACAATAAAATCTTTAATTTGATTGTATTGGTCTATATAAGTGCAATGAATATCAATTGGTTCAACAATTGCATCTGTCAGAATGAGTTTTAAAAAATAATTGATCATGTTTCTTAATCTCTCATAGAGATATGGGAGAACATAGTTTATTTTTTCTTTAAATTCACTTGTATTATAAGTGTTATTCATTAAATTACTACAAGTTTTTAAAATTGGATCATTTAGGCTTTTGCTTTGATATGACATAGTTTGAAATTTTTTTATTGAAATAAGCATTATATAAACTTTATTTATATTTTTAATTATGGCTTTTGTATATTCGAAAAATGGCTTTGTTTAATTACAAATTTTACAATTGTCTGGCCTTATTGCATACAAACCTAACTACAATTGCTTACAATTATAATTGTATACAAATATGATCACGATCATAATTGTATACAAATACGATCACAACCGTAATTGCATACAAATATAATTACAATCGTAATTGTATATGACCCGAAACCCAAAACCTTTCAAAATTCTTATTGACGGATTAAATAAAGAACTGTAAATAACTAAAAATGAAATAAAAAAAAGTTAAAAGAAAAAATCAAAAAACAAACAAAAAGAAAAAAAAAAAAAAAAGGAGAAGATACATATAATTGTCAGTAATAGCTCAAAAAAAAAACCTTAAATTCGTATTTCAAACAAAAGATAAAATTACGTACTGTACAAGAAACAAAGAATCATGGCCAAATCAGATTTTCATCGTGATTGAATTCTAAAATGTCCTACAATTCCCCTTTATGTCTCTGACAACCTTTTGTAAAAATGACGCTTATATTCTAAAATTTTAAAAACGATATATACATTGCCTACTTTCTTTGTTTACAATAAATATAAAACGTTAATAACTAATGTATATTTATTTATATTTAAGTACCAAAATGCCTTAAAGTCTAAAATTAAAATTCCAAGCTTTATCTTTTCTAACCCATTTACCAAAACGGTAACAATATCCAAGAATGATTTAATACAGAACTTACTTGATTGTCTAAACACCATTTAGATTTTGTTTCTTTTTTATTAGAAATTGACCCAATTTAATTCTAAATTGGAACAATAGGTTAAGCTCTACTTTTAGTATGGTATTAAAATTTTAGAAAAGCATTACTGCGACTTTTTATAATTGGACCTAAATTAAGAACCTGAATTATTATTTGGTTTCGTGATTATTATGTATCAATCACATGATATATTTATCAAAATGATCTCTAAATTTAATAAAACCAATATAATTATTGTGTCAAACCAATCTCTTACCTCAAAACCAATCTTTATTTTTTTAAAGTTGATCTGTTCTATATATTTATTTATTTATTAAATATTTCAACTATATTAACACATAATTTTTAGAGTAATATAAAAAGTCACCGTAATGAATTTCATACAATCATGACCATAATCGTGATTGTATACAAACATGACTATGGTTGTGATTGCATACAATCGCGACTACAATCATGATTGCATACAAACATTATCATGATCGTGTTTGTAAATCAACCTACAAGTAAAAAATATATAAAGTGCATCAAAAATCCAATTTTATGATTAAAAAAAAAACAACCAAAAAAACAAATAAATAAACAAATAAATAAATAGAATAAATAAACCAAATGTCGAATAATAAAAAATCTAATTTTTCTGAAATTGTAACTGAAAATCCTATTAAAATAAAAAATACAAAAGATACAAATAAAAATGCTATAAAATTAGCTCTTAAACTTAATGAATCCAACCCATCTAGTATACGAGCAGCTGCATCAAAATTCGGTCTTGCAGAGGCAACTTTAAGACGTGCATTTAAGAAAAATAGTATACCCGACAATTCTGGCTCTGTAACAGTTTTGAGTTGCTATGAAGAAGAACAATTGGTGAGTTATTGTATGAATATGCAAAGACTTGGATTTGGTCTTACACAGTTCGGGGTAAACCACTATGTGATGAATATTATAAATCGTGATAGTTGTAATCATCTTTTCAATGAAAGTGGTCCTAGTAAGGCTTGGTGGAAACGTTTTATGAAAGACTATCCCAACCTATCTTTTCGAGTACCTCAAGCCTTAACTAAAGCACGTGCTCAAAAATCCAATCCAACCATTGTTAAAGATCATTTTAATAAATTAAATAAAATAATTCAAGATAATTCACTTACCCCAGATCGTATCTGGAATATGGACGAAACTAGCTTCGTTATAGCTTCCAAGGTTCAAAAAGTTATTGCCGCCAAAGGCTCCCGTCAAATTTATAAGGTTGTTCATGGTAATTCGCATGATCATATTTCTGTTGTACCAACAATTTCAGCTTCTAGCAATTATATCTCTCCTTTAATCATATACAAAGGCATTCATGCAATTTCTGGTTTGTTAAATGGTGTGTGAAGAACTTTTTTAAATATATATTAAACATTTTATAAGTTCAATTCCTTCTCGTCATCTTGTTCTTTTAATGCTTGATAGCCATAGCAGCTATATAAATTACATGAGTATTAGTTATTGTCAAGAAAATGAAGTTTTACTATATGCACTTCCACCCCATACAATGTATATTCTTTAACTATCCAAACTTCCTTTTGTTAAACTTAAAACCGAATACAGTAAAAATTGCAACGAACTTCACTATATAACTGGTGGCGAGTTGGTGACTAAGTATACGTTCACTAAAATACTTGGTCTTGCATTTATTAAGACTTACACTCCTGCAACAATAGCTAATGCATTTAGAGCTACAGGAATTTAGCTCTTTAACCCTAATACTATTAGCTCCCATCATCTCACTCCCTCTTTATCTACCAAATGAATTGATATATTACCTTCATTCACTTAAAAAAATGATCTATCTTTAATATCAACATCTTCTTCTTTACCATCTTCTTTAATATCTTCTTCCTCTTTATCATCTTTCTCTTCATTATCATCTTCTTTCTCTTCATTGTTTTTTTCTTTCTCTTCATCGTCTTTTTCTTTCTTTTCATTGTCTTCTTTACCTAGTACTAACAAGAAGATTAAATTATTAGAAGCAAAAATTCATACTTTAAAAAAAGAAAATATGCTACTAAAAGAAAAACTTGAAACATTTAAAAATCCTGGTACCTGTGCATTAAAGCTGGCCCTTAAGTATCCAACTTCCCAAGTTCCAATACAGACAGAGTCTGATCAGCCAAAGAAAAGAAAGAACTTTCCCTTTGCCCGACTTCTTACTAATAATGACTCTCTACAAATATTAAAGAAAATAGATGAGTCAGCAAAAATCAAAGCAAAAGGTATTAAAAAAAGAAAAGAAGAGGCAGCCCAAAAACGAGCTGACCGGGAAGCTAAAAAAAAAAGAAGAAAATAAGAAAAAAAAAAAGAAGAACAGTTACAAAAAAAAAGAAAAGATAATCATGCATAATTATTATATTATACGTATTATATAATTCTGTAATACTATGTTATCGATATTAATTTGACCCTATCTGATGTGCATCATAATACCCCCAAATGTAAAAAATATAGTATTTTATAAGTAGATTTTGAAGGCTTATATTTTAATAATTTTTTTTTTAAAGACGATTTTTTTTTTATTGGTAGATAGTCAATTACCTGAGTAATCTATATCTACAAATTTTTAGAATAAATAATTTTTCTCTAAAAAGTTTTATATGAACAACGCTTAGGTGCGTTATAATACCCCTCTCTCTCTTATGTATGTACATACAATCAATTTATACAGATTAGATTAAATCACTATCTATATAAATTTGGTATAGAGAAAAAATGAAAAAATTTATAGCCATAATACAATACACATACAATATGATTACCTGTATTATAAATTTACTAGTAAATTTACTATTATATATTGTTCTTATATTAATTATTTGCATTGAAAATATTGCAGTCCCATGATTGCTGACCGTTTCCAATCTATTTAATATAGCGATAGTTTGAAGTTTAGAACTATTTAATCTTAATCACTATTTGTTTACGATCGAAGCTAAATTGGTCCAAAACCCTATAAGCTCTCCCACTAGTCGTAACATAGGTCATTGATTATTAGTTTTTATCGCACATTCGAACTGATAAACCTGAATATTTTAATATTATAGCTGTTTTCATTATTCCTGGAATACTTATAAAAAAATTGGCCGAAAAATTTTTTGGCCGGTAATTTTTTCAGTATCCCTTAAACCGTCTAGTGGCTATATTTGGCTGCTAAAATATTTTTTTATATATTTTTTTACAATTACTAAAAATTTTATTAAGCTTGACCCCCTCTAT